AAAAAAAAATATCGATATGAGTATTAAATTAATCTTTTTAAAAGTTCTTGTGTTTTGGTGTAATTTTCTTAATTAAATTCTGTTAGTTATTAATGATTATCATAATTATATTTTAGATTTTTTATATTTAAAATGAGATATTTATCCAATATTTGATTATGTTTATCTGCAGTTAGTTTTAATTTTCTTAATTAAATTCCGTTAGTTATCAATGATTATCTTAATTATATTTTAGATTTTTTATATTTAAAATGAGATATTTATCCAATATTTGATTATATTTATCCAATATTTGATTATGTTTATCCAATTCGCTGGGGATTACGATAACAACATAAGTACATCCGGATACGTTTTCATGATGAGCGGAGCAACAGTGGCTTGGAGTTCAAAGAAACAACCTATTGTCACTCTATCTACTACAGAAGCAGAGTATGTGGCAGCTTCAGCTTGTGCGTGCCAAAGCATCTAGATGAGAGAAATTCTTAAGGAGTTCAAACAGAATCAGCGCAAAGGTGTAACAATCAAATGTGACAATAGCTCCTCGATAAAGCTCTCGAAGAATCCTATCTTTCATGGTAGGACAAAACATATTAAGGTAAGGTTCCACTTCTTACATGAGTTAGTAAAAAACGGAGAGATTGAGTTAATTCATTGTGGAGCACAAGACCAGCTCGTAGACATAATGACAAAGCCGTTGAAACTCGACACGTTCTTGAAGTTACGCAACATGCTTGGAGTTCAACATTTTCAAGGAGCAAACTCAGTTGCGCATGACATTCTCAGTTTGGGGAAGGATATTGAGTGATTTTTTACTGTTTTAGCACCTGCTTGAACGGTCCTTTTTGGATAAGTAGTTTTGAATAAGAAGTCTTCTCCTATAAAGAAAGCTTAAGAACAGATCCTAGTTGAACTAGTCTTTTGCTTGTTTATATTTATTTATTTTTCTTGTACAACTCTATCTATAAATAGAGCGGGTATTCTTCCTCAATAAAGTATTGAATCAATTTTGATCAAGCAAAACAGAGTGTTAAAGAGTGAGTTTGAAGAACCAATTTAAATAAAAACTAGCATGCTAAATTATTAAGAGAAATTATGTGGAATACAGTTTGATGTTTTGAAACTTGTTGCTTACGAAACATGCTATTGACTTAAATTTTGGTGAAATATACTTTGTATAAATGAGGTATTATGAACTATTTGTTTGCTCATCGATATAGTGTATTTAAATCTGGATCTGACAACTTAGAGTCACCCCCTTTTGTTGCATTTGTATTGGGGTCGCACCCTTTTATAATTTAATGGGTTGCTCCCATCGGGTGTTTTATGGAGTATCGTATATGGATGGGTGCCAGATACTCGACTAATAGGCATAGTGTCTCTAAGACACAACGTGCACATGATGATTATGTTGAAATTAGCCTAACGAATAAGTGGACTGTTGGGTAGTGCTCCTTCACTGATTCCGGTTTTTATTGTGGGTCTCCCCCACTTGGTGCGATGTTTATTACCTCATTATAAAAAAATAAGAACACTTTTATATGTTTCTTTTTTATGAAAGTATCATGTTAACTTGCATATCACTAATATTTATTAATTATGCATTATTTGAATTCATGAATTAGTTTAAATTTTTATTAAATGTTTTATAATTTAAATTTATAAACTCACCAAACGTGTGGTCTAATTTATTTTTACTTTTC